CTCCGGGCTGGTGGGGTCTGGGGCCATGGTAGCAAGCGGCGGGTGGCAGCTTCGGGCAGGTCCGCGTTTGTCTGGGAAAGCTTTGCCAGGCTGCTTGGGCTCCTTCCCCGACAGGCCCCGTGGAGAGGGCTCCCCCCGTGCTCCCCAGTAAGAGGAGGTTCCCGTGGGGCCTTTGCGCAGCTCTGCCCGTGGGGACGCTTGGGGACACGGTCACGCCACGCGGTTATGTGTGGACGTTCATACTCAATAAATCTCCCTGATGAGACAAGCCGGCTCAAAAAGTGCCACCGAGGGCATGGCACAGGGACAGTCCAACAAACGGGAACCCATGTGCCCTCAGGTAGGAAGCTGGCAGGGTTGAGATGTCTTCATATGTATTTAGGGACACGGGATGGGCTGACAGGCTGTTAGCTGCCTTTTGCTGCATGGCTCTGGCAGAGGCCTCTCGCCTGGCTGGGGAAGGGTGCAGAACCTGCCCCTGCTCCTGCCCCTGTGTTTGCTTCTGGAGGCTCCAACGGAGCAGCCGGGCTGCAGCCCTTGGTCACCTCATAGGCTACTTCTGAGGTTACACAGTCATCCCGTACCAGAGCAGACCTTGAAAAGAGGCAGCTCAACCTCTCAGCTGATGAAGATGACAGAAAAACAATAGTATAGGTGGGTTACGGCAATTAGAGCCTGTGAGTGTGCTCAGGACCCCAAGGTGGGCTGACAGTAACTGCAGGTGATCTGCCCTCTTCAGGTCTTTGCCAGCCAGGACAATTCACCGGGAGGCAGCGTCCAGGATCAGCTCCTTCCCTTTGTTACGTTCCTCAGTCCCTGAGAAACACCCTGACACTCTGAGGCGTATCACAGCCTGTCACGAGGGAAGTATAACCCCATCCGTGGGGCCAGGTGGAGAAGCAGGGAGAGGGGGAGAGCAGTGAATGGAAAAATCCACCTAAATCCCCCAAGGACAACTGCCTGCTTCTTAAAGAAGAGGGGCTGAGGACAGTGTGTACCAGTCAAAGGTGGACAAGAGCTAGTCAAACCTGGACACAACTTAGGTAATGCACTTTGGTCTTTATTTGCAAAATCATCCACTCTATTGTTCTAGCCTTGGGACTTCAAGAAGTCAATACATTTTAATTTTGAACCAAATCACCCCATTTAGCTCTCTCTCAAATCACCCCCTGAGCTCACGCAGGAACTTTGTCCATTGCCTCTCATGCTTAGTGCATAGCCTTACTCACCCTCTGCCCCCCTTCCCTATTATCATTTATTTTACAAACATTTCTTGAGTTGATATTCACGTGGCAAATAATGGAGCTTAGTCCAGAGGAAATTTGTGTGGTCGAGAAAAGTCCTCATAATATTTGGAAGATGTTCCTCAATGTACTCCATTTACGAAGCCTTCAGATTTGCATTCAGGTAGCACCAGGCCCGCAGCGCTGCAAACTCTGCCCAAATGGTCCCTTCTCTTACACAATAAAAGACAGGTGCTCAGCAGGACCCCGCTTCCATGACCTTGGGAATATTGTGCAAAAACGTCTGCTGCACACCCAGCAAGTGCCGTCTGCACCATGCCACGCGTCAGCCAGGGATATTTCAAGAAAGCCTTTGGTACTTGTGCCCCTATAAATTCTCCAAATCCTCCCTGTGCCGGAGTCAGATAACAAGCAGAAGGACAATGGCTCCAAGAATCCAGGCTGCCCATCTGCTCTGCACTTCCAGATTCTTGCTTCCACAGCGCCAGCTGATGAAATTTTCATAGCTGATGAGGTTTCTCATTTCCACTGGGCCTTGCTGCCTTGGAGCCTTCACAGTTGTGGTCTGTTCAGGTTTCCATGGGTGCACACTGATGGCAGCAATGATTAGAGCCCTTTGCTTTCTTTTGGTGACCTTTCAGAGTAGGATCTCCAAGGTTTTTGCAAGTCTAGGTGAAAGAAGCCCTGCAAGAAGGAGAGAGCTTGATTTTCAGATGGTCTCGGCATTTACTGCTTCCATTAAACTTCACTCTTCTCAAAATCAGATC